CTCCCCGATTCTGGTAGAACTCGATCTTCAAGCGCTCCAAATGAGGCATTTGTGACAATTGGGACAACGAATCCATATTAAGCCACGAACTGAAGAAAAACATATTCAATGATTTCAATTCGTGAAACGTATTGCATATGAGATCAAGTGTTTCGATGTCATAGCCCTCCACTTCCAGCGTTTCCAAGTTTACCGCACTTTGTCTTAAAATATTAAACGTGTTTTGACTGACTCTGTATTTGTAACATTTGTTAAGCTTTAAAGTCTTCAGATTTGGACCAAAATAAGTAAATATCTTATCGATTGGCATATCGTTGACATCGAAACTAAACTCTTCGAGTTTTGTAAAGTTCTGAACCAAATAAATGAGACCAAATTCAGACAACTTCTCCGGATTTGTCACCGAATTGATTGACATATGGATCAAATTATCGGACAATATTTCTCCGATTTGTATCCATTGTCGTGATGTGAGTCGAGAATTGAGGACAGAGTTATTAATTTGCAAACACTCCAAGTATTTGCACTGTTTTCTGATCCAAACAATTACTTTCAGATCGATTTCAGCACTCATTTCAATGCATCTAATGTTTGGGCAAAATTTAAAAAACATTCTCAAAGTGTTCTTGTTTTTGTCGTTCAATTCAAACAATTCATTGTTCTGTTGGCCACTTGTGGCCAAAGAGAGCGCCGAATGCCTTAAATCGCAACAATTGCCGACATTTCGGCCAATTTTAAGCCCTTTAGTCGATTCAAGACTCTTGTCGACCAACCCTTTCAATCGGTTGTTTAGTCTGAATCGGAACTTCTCTTTGAGTGACAACTTCTCGATTATATCATACAAACAGTAATCGTTTAACTCTTCAATCGTTTTATTGCTTTTGGCATTTTTGCTAAATTTCGGGGCCATTATTGGATCAGATCTTCAGTTTCAACGAAATCAATATACCGCCGATGAAAGACAAATCAAATGTCTTATAATCTGCAAAACAATAATAATAATAATTTAATCATTAATTTAAGTTTAAAGCGTTTAAACAGTTTGTGACATACATTTGAGGCATTAATCAACTTTTGATACACTTTTCAATTGAGTGAACACTCAATCAAATTAAACTAAACATTAGTTTTTTAATAAATACTGTATTGTCTATACTAACAGTACTATTATTTAAAATACCCAAACTTTTAATTGTAATTAAATGAGTTTTATAAAAGTTTTCAAATAATTAAAACTATTAATTTTGGTGTAAAACTGTTTACCAAAACTGTTTTCACTGAAACTGACGCTAAGATCAGCTGATTATCGCAGAAAGTGATAACAAATAAGCGATAATTAAAACCACATTTCGATGTCTTATCGGATAATCAAAAGCGGATTTAAATCATGATTAAAATGATAGACACGTGAGAGTCATGTGATTGTGATAATCATTTTGATGCCTATTTTGGTCAACAATTTTGAATACAAAACAAAAAACCCATTCAAAGCCCACTTTAATAACCACTAAATTAAACCATATTTTCTAAACAATTCAGACATTAATTTTAACAACAATTTTAGCAATAATTTTGACGCAAAAATGACATTAAAATCGCAAAATAATGCCAAAACTTACGCAACAATTGGTCCTTAAATAGCATTGAAATGAATGGCAAAACAAAATAACTGTTTATTATTAGGTCTGGTATTCATCACAACAAATGTGAACACTTTTAACGTATAAACTAAACTATATTTTCGTCCAAATGTATAAATAGTTAACAATTATATCAATAAAATGTCATTATTTTCATATAAAAACGATTTGTGTATAAAATATATATAAAACAATTAAAACAAGGATTTAATGATTGAAAAGTGTTTCGCAATCTTTTGACAACACTTTAGTGAATACATTGAATACGCGATCGTATTATAGAGTATGGCATCGACTCAACCGATGGCACCACTCATGGCATCACATATTCAACACTTTGAATGCAATATCCATTGAAAAGTTTTCAAAACTTACAAGAATTCATTAAATTAAAAATTCTTTATA